GTTTCCTCCAACTCATGTCCATTGAGTCGATGATGCTCCCTTCTCATCCTCTGTCATTCCCTTCTCATCCTCTGTCGCTCCCATCTCTTCCTGCCCTTAGTCTTTCCCAGTATCAGGGTCTTTTCCAATAGGTTGGCTCCCCACATCAGGTAGCCAAAGTACTGGAGCTTCAGCTTCAGCATCAGTCCTTCCAGTGAACATTCAGGGTTGATTTCCTTTAGGACTGACTTGATTTGATCTCTGTGCTGTCCACGGGACTCTAGAGAGTCTTCTCCAGCATCACAGTTCAAAAGCATCAATTCTTCATCAAGAGGCTCTTTAGTTCCTCTTTGCTTTCTGCCATTAGGGTTTGATGGTGATGGTGTTCAGTTGCTCAGTCATGTCCGACTCTTTGCAACCCTGTGGACTGTAGAATGCTATATTTCCCTGTCCTTCACTATCTCCCAGAGTTTGCTCAAACTCACATCCGTTGAGTTGATGATGCCTTCCAACTGTCTCATCCTCTATCAATCCCCTTCTCCTCCTGCCCTCAAATCTTTCCCAGCATCAAGGTCTTTTCCAATGAGTCAGCTCTTCTCATCAGATGGCCAAAGTATTGGAGCTTCAGCTTTATCATCAGTCCTTCTAATGAATATTCAGGGTTGATTTCCTTTAGCACTGACTGAGGCAGGCAAAATCTGCCATCCAGTAATCCCTAAATGGACGACTTCCTGAATGATGCTCCATTTGGTCCAGGAGTGAAACACTGCCTACTCTGATCTGAATGGTCAAGTGCTTATCCTCTCACCTCATCCCAGATGGTTGACCTGCACTTTCTGTCTCTTACCAGCCTGTGTCTGCAGCTATATGGGAGGAGGATAAGGGCAGGAAGTATCTCACACACTTTTGAGCAATGAAGAGCCAACATATGCGAAGCACTTTGGGCTTCCTTGGTGGCTCAGATGGTAAAGTATCTCCCTGCAACGCAGAAGACCCAGGTTTGATCCCTGGGTCAGGAAGATCCCCTGGAGAAGGAAATGCAACCCACTCCAGTATCCTCACCTGGAGAATATCATGGACGGAGGAGCCTGGCAGGCTACAGTCCATGGGGTCGCAAAGAGTCGGACACGACTGAGCAACTTCACTTCACTTTAGCCCATAATCTGGCTCGTGATAGGGGACAGATGGCAGTTATTGTTGATGTGACTACAGACCTGAGGATTAAACACACACACACCCATACATGCAAGGCTGTTGAATCAATTCAGCATTTTGTGTAAATCTAAGGTTTCCACTGTGAGCTCCACTACCTTCTTGGTGGAGTGTGTGCAGTGTGACTTGACCTACCTCCCTCCAGGGAGAGCTTGTCTCTAAAGTGGCTCTGGAGCTAGAGGGCCAAGAGCCCCGGCAGATTCTGGGATTCTGTCCCCTAAAGTACTCTTGTGACCAGTTCTTCCTTTTGGACAGTCTCCCCTCAGGAGCGTGGTTGAGGGGTGTGTTTTCCTAGATGATATCCCCTGGTTACTTTAGCAAAATTAACTTTTGAATTTTGGGTTGAGGCAGTTTTCATTCCTTGACTCCCTCCAAAAGGGTTTCCTGGTTGTTCTCAAATGCTGTCATTTACAGAACACGAAGAGGGGAGAAGGTTCCTTCTAATCACAGGGCAGGTGGTGGAAGCCATCTGAGATGAATCTGGCTGGGGGTGAGGCTTGGCCACACCTGCTCTGGGTCCCCTTTAGTAGTTGTGTCCCCTGTTCCTCATGGGATTCAGCTCAGGGATGGCCACCAGCACCTCTCACCACCCAAGGCATCTGGGTGGGGTGATTTGGGGACACTTCCTCCCAGGCTTGAAAAAAATGCAAAATAGGTCTTACCAAGGACTTTTCTGTAACCACAATTGGAGGGCCTTGGCTTGGCTCCTAGTCTGTTTAGAAATATGTATTTATTTTGGAAAGAAGTTTAGCCTCAAGCAGCATTAAAATAAAAGCAGCCTCTTGAGTGCTGAGACACTATTAAAAGTTCTATATTGTAGCAGCAAGGGCTCAGTGCCCTCACTGCCACCATACGGTCACTCTTCTAGACTCCTCCAGCCACAGTGAGACATGTCTTACTCCCTGCCTGCCCGCTTTTGTGCCACCCCCCCAGCCAGACTGACAGTTTTTAAGGGAAGTTTCCAGTCATGATTGTAGCAGTGACAAGGACACCGGTCCCAACTAATCTTTATTGAGTGTGCTATATGTCAGGCTCTGTCCTAAGAGTTTTACTATGTCATGTTTAACCTCAGCAGTGTCCCTGTGAGGTAGACTCCATTACTATTTTCTATTAAGAGACAAGGAAGCCAAGACAAGCTCCAGGTTGCACAGCCAGCAAGTGACCTGGTTGATGGATTGGTTATTGACAGAATCTGAGAAGCCCCCATGGTTTATTTCTAAGAATCTTTTTTCAGGTGCAGCCAGTTGGTTGAATGATGAGCTTAAAAGAAAATTTAAGATCATGGCATTTGGTCCCATCGCTTCATGGCAAATAGATCGGGAAACAATGGAAACAGTGACAGACTATTTTGGGGGGCTCCAAAATCACTGCAGATGGTGATTGCAGCCATGAAATTAAGACACTTGCTCCTTGGAAGAAAAGCTGTGACCAACCTAGACAGCATATTAAAAAGCAGACATTACCAACAAAGGTCCATCTAGTCAAGACTATGGTTTTTTCCATATGGTGGTCATGTATGGATGTGAGAGTTGGATTATAAAGAAACCTGAGTGCCGAAGAATTGATGCTTTTGAACTGTGGTGTTGGAGAAGACTCTTGAGAGTCCTTTGGACTGCAGTGAGATCCAACCAGTCCATCCTAAAGGAGATCAGTCCTGGGTGTTCATTGGAAGGACTGATGCTGAAGCTGAAACTCCAGTACTTTGGCCACCTCATGCAAAGAACTGACTCTTTTGAAAACACTGTGATGCTGGGAAAGATTGAAGGCGGGAGGAGAAGGGGATGACAGAGGATGAGACAGTTGGATGGCATCACTGACGTGATGGACATGAGTTTGAGTAGGCTCTGGGAGCTGGTGATGGACAGGGAGGCCTGGCGTGCTGCAGTCCATGGGGTCACAAAGAGTCGGACACGACTGAGCCACTGAACTGAGTGAGAATCTGTTAGTAGTGGTTTAACAAAATCCAAGAGCTCACCCTACCTGACATCATTCCCTCAGTTAAAGGAACCAAGGTGCCCTTTTGTGAAGGGAGCTCTGGGCACCTGGGTTTAATCCCTTCAGGTATGATAGTTTCCCCTCCAACTTCCTGAGCAGGCAGGCAGCGCTTCAGCCTTCATTACACTGGCTGACGCTGACCATCACTTGTGTATCCTGGCTAGGGCTCCAGGAAGTCTGAGGTTCCAACTGGAAACTGTGTTTATCGGCTCACAAAGAATTCTCAGCTTGTCCATATACAAGAGCAAATAAGCTGACATAAACAGCTAGTTTGTGTATATATTTTCAATATACATTGTAACATATACATTATAATTTATATAATGTAGTTGTTGAGATTATGGGACATGATTAAAATGTTGGAGGTCTTTATACTTACAAAGTATAAGATAATGACTTTCTTTTCTATTGCTTTAATTTTGTATCTATATGAGATGATGGATGTTCACTAAACTTATTTCTTTTTAATTTATAAAAAATTTTATTGAAGTTGATTTACAATATTGTGTTAATTTCTGTTGTACAGCAAAGTGACTCAGTTACACATATACATATGTATTCTTTTTCTTACCCTTTTCCATTATGGTTTGTCATAGGACATTGCATGTAGTTCCCTGTGCTATAGGAGGACCTTGCTGATGGTCCCGTATATAACAGCGTGCCTCTGCTGAGCCCAAGCCCCCCATTCATCCTCCCCCTCGGCAACCGCAAGCCTGCTCTGTGTCTGAGTCTGTTTTTTCATAGGTATGTTCATTCCTGTTACATTTCAGATGCCACATATATGTGGGGTACATGGTATTTGTGTTTCACTTAGTATGGGGTCTCTAGGTCTACCCCTGTTGCTGCAAATGACATTATTTCATTCCTTCTGATGACTGAGTGATGTCCCACTGTGCATATATGCCACGTCTTCTCGATTCTGTCAGTGCACATTTAGATCGTTTCCATGCCTTGGCTTTTGTCAGTAGTGCTGCTATGAACACAGAGGTGCATGTATCTTTGCAAATTATAATTTTAGTTGGGTATGTGCCCAGGAGTGGGGTTGCTGGATCTTATGATAATTCTATTTTTAGTTTTTGGAGGAAACACTGTACTGTTTTGCATATTGGCTGCACCAGTGTACATTCCCACCAACAGTGTAAGAGGGGTTCCCTTTTCTCCACACTCTCTCCAGCATTTGTTATTTGTAGACTTTTTAGTGATGGCCATTCTGACCATGGTGAGGTGGTATGTCATTGTAGTTTTGATTTGCATTTCTGTAATTATTACTGATGTCGAGCATCTTTCCATGTGCCTCTTGGTCATCTGTATGTCGTCTCTGTACACTAAACCTAGTGTGGTCATCATCTCATGACATATGTAAGTCAGATCATTACACTGCACACCTTATGCAGCAATATGCATATTGTGTCAGTTGTGTTGCATTAAAAGTGGACAAAAAAGATACCTGCCCTGAGTGTACCCTGAAACATGTGATTACAATGACTACTTAGTAGAGATGTACTAACATTTCTGGTGAAGGCATCCCAGCTCAGTAAACCTAAAGTCTGAGACCATTAATAATCAGGTGCTAAAGCAATAGTAACATTTGTATTTAGCACCAAACCAAGTTAAATATTGGGGGTGGAGGGTCAAAAAATAATGATAAGCAAGTCCCTGAGACTTCTTGTAGTCAGTTCATAATCTTGGTATTATTTTCACTAGTTTTTCTGCTGATATTTAAATGAATACATAATAGGGTAATGTTAGTGAGAATATTTCCCTCTAGACCAGTGATCTCTTTTAAAATTGAGAACTCAAAAAAACCAAAATCTTAGTGATAAAGGCATTTTATTTCTACTTTACTTCTACTGGAGATGAAGAAGCAAAAGTTAGTAAGAGTCCATCGAGGAAAGGAGGGTGGTAGACACTATCTGGTTTGCTTGCTGTCAGCTAACCCTTGCTAAGCCAGGAAGAAGGTTGGAGGTTTCATGGGAAGGCACTATATTTGTAATGAATTTCTCAGAAACTCACCATGCACTGCCCCAGAGCTTTCAGAAAACCCATCTGCATCTGGTTACATGTTTTCTTTCCATGCCCTCAAAGCCAAAAGCATTTAACTTGGTAACAGTTATGTTTGTTCTTTGACTAGGAAGTAGTTATAGGGACAAGGTACAAAAAATAGTAAGCATGCAGCCCTTTATTTAGTTTTGCAAAGTCTCTGCTTATAGTTCTGTATATTACATGACTGTGTTATACAAATACACTTATTTACAAAAACACTCTAGCTGTGCAAACTTGTTGCTTTTTAAAAATGTCTGGGAAGTCCCATTTCTGCCCATCCCAAGATAGATGTTTAAAGCATGCATAAAAATGAACTTTGGTGTGGGAAAACTACTCTATGTGCTGTCACATACAGTATTTTTGGTGTCTATTTATATATTTACAAAAATTGATCAGTTTACAGAACCGTACAGAAGTGTACATTTTAAAATCCACAATGCAGTAGTGTGGGTTACCAGGTCTCAGAAAACAAAGGGAAGATTTAGATACTGCAAAGAAAACAACTAGAGAATCCCAACATGTTGAAAAGAAAGAAAAGCAGAACTAGCTTGCTTGGGCTGGCAAATTATTATACATAATTTTTATGGCAGTGCAGCAGGGTTGATAATTGCCTTCTACATGTGCCTCTGTGTCGGCTTGTGTAGAAGTTCATTGGCTTCTTGTCTAGCACGCTACTTCCAAATGTACAATGCTATAGTATCAAAATGTTTTGGCAAAAAAGATCTCGAAAGGAACCATGAAGTTTTGACAAAAATAGAAATCTGTAATAAAGCTAAATAACACTAAAATAAAAGGAAATATAATAGTATCTGTTTTACAATTTGTATAGTCACACTTGTGTATTTCTCTGTTCACTTCTAGTCTCCGTAATGAAAAATATTTTTATACAAAACATACTAAAATTCTGGAATCATACATGTTTTACATGCTTAATACATTTTTTATTTTCCTGTCTCACACACACCCTTCTCTCTTGCCATACTCTCCTTTTTGGTAACACATGCTTGCTTCATTTAACAGGTACTGAATAGAGACAGTAAACACTATGTAATTAGAACAGCAACAAAGTAAAAAAAAAAAAATAAGCTTTACTGAAGTCTGTTAATCCAGTATTTAGCACATACTTTGCATTAAGCCTCAAACAGTACAGCAATATGTTACATTCTCTTGTGAAAACAGTAAGACTGTTAAAAAAAACTTTTTTTTTTTCTTAAATGTAACTCCAACTTGTGTTTAATTGGATTTGGCCTTTAAGAGGTTTCCTTTGCTGTGGATGGGGTGGCTTTGCTTGAACTTCCGTTCTGTGCCTTGTAGCTGGTGAGGCTAGGAGTGTGGCTGCTCCTGATGCTCTTTGCACCTTGATTCAGTGAAGTGGGGGAGGCAGGGGAGGGCGGGGAGGAGGAGAAGGAAGGAGGGGCTGCTCGGCCATTTTGAGTCTGCAGTGAGAATGACAGATGGTGACCTTTACCTGTATGAGTGGGGCTCTGAAACTTTAAGGAGCCATTAGAGACAGAGGGGATCAGGGAGGCGGAGGGAGCAGGTCGTCCTGTTTGGGGGCTGAGAGGGTTAGAAGGAACCGATGGTTTAGTAGCAGGCGGATTAGGGAAGTTAGGGCCGTCACCACTAGAAGAAGGCAGAGAACCGCTTTTCCCAGAGCTGGGAGAAAGGGCTGGAATCTTAGAAGCAGGTAAGGAGGGGAAAGTAGGCTTACAGTCCCCACCAGCTTTCTTAGCACTTCCATTAGCCTGCAAACAAAGATGGCGGGAGACAGTTTGTCAGAAAGCTGGTAACACCATCAGTCCACAGGCTCTGGCAACACAGCCCTTCTGAGGATCATTAAATCAAAGACACCAAACCAAACTTAAACCAGTGCAAGGCCTGAGCTAAGTCTTGTCATGCTGTACTGGGCCTGGTAGAAACCCCCCAAGTGCCGGGCAGAGGATGTACAGAACAGGGAAGAAGGAAGAAGAGCACTTGGAGGACAGGCACATCATTCTCCTACCGTCTCTGGGTTCGGGGGGAGTTACTGGGGTGGGGGTGGGGCATCATGATAGTTAATATGCCTCTAGTGCGATGCAGTCCACACACACATTAGTACTGGTGACTTTCAGGGCAGCCTTTTCTCTCGGTTTTCCCTAGGTGTTCTGACGAACCACTACACTCCCCCAAGGAAAGCCACCTGGCCTGCCACCTTGTTTTTACAGGTCAACTTTGGAGTCACACAGTGAAAGATGTTTTATTGCGAGCATGCAAAAGCTTGGTGAGAAGTTCAACAAAGGCTTTGAGACTCTCTCTTCATGCCCCCAAATCCAGGATGTCTAGATAAACTGTATCTTAACAAAGAAAAAAATGCAATATTTGGTATAAACTAAGTCAGTGACTTGCTTCTCTTAAGCGCAAGAGTGTCCATCCAAAAGTGGGTTTAAGGTAAAACTACCTGGCGGTATTGGCGGGGATCCTGCAGTTTGGACTGCTTGCCAGGTTTGTCCAGGCTTCCGGGTCTGTTCTTGGAACTCATGGGGACTGGCATCCTGCTCGTCTGAGGGGTCCCGCTGGAGCCCTGTGGGGAGGAGCGGCAAGAGGGGGGAGAGAAAGGATGGTGTGAGTGGGTCATTCGAGGCCACCCCACTGGTGCAGAGAAGCTCAACGTGAGAAGCCACAGCCCTACATGCAGGACAGATCTAGGAGACGGACATCAGGAGACACCACTGGGGTTAATTCGGAGAATCAAACAATGAAACTGCCCCACTACTGATCAAACGGATTTTAATGTGAGTATCAGAGCAATCACTTCAACGGCAAATAGCTGGCCCAGCATCCTTGGGGTTTTCCCAACACCAGTCAGCAACAGAGGTAAAAACAGAAATCGATTAGCTGTTAGACACCTAGCTGTTGTTGTTTTGAAGGCGAGGGAAAAAGTGTGAGAGAAAGGGATCATGGTGAACAGACAACAAAACAAAACGAGCCACCTGAAAGGAAGCGAGTCAATCACAAGACACCTTTTGCTAATGGTGATTATGGCAGATTTAAGAAAGCAGCTGGCTCTTTTCATTTTTCCATCAGACCAAGATACCTTACGTGAAGCTGAAGGTATAGATGAGGGGGGCTCTAAGGCAGTGGATGCTCCATCCAGGACTAGCAAGGATGGGGGACCGGCCTCCTGGGCCGTGTGGGATGAACTTGCAACAGAATCTCTGTGGGAAGAACACGAGGTCTCAACTAGGGCTTTGGGACTCATCTCACTGATGGTATTTTCCAGCTGTTTGATGGTCTGCTCCAGGCTGTCCAACGTTCTGTAGGTATTTTTTCTGATTTCATCAGTTCTCGAAACCAGAGCAGTGCTCTCCGGGCTGGGATGCTCTAGTCTCCTGAGCAGGCTTTTAGGGGCGTCTTCGGTTGGAGACCTACTGATCTCGAATCGCTTGGCTTCCTTGTGCTGCTTCAGCGTGCCATCCTCCTCCTCCTCTTCGTAGACCACCACCTGTAACGTCTTCTTCCCAGTCTTGGTGCCTGTGCGAATGGCTTGCGTGAGAGCCGCAAGCTGCTTCTTTGGGAATTTGAACTTGAACTTTTTCTTGGGGCTTTCAAACTGGTCATCAGTCACGTCACCCTGGCTTTCTGAGCTTGGAGAATCGGTTGGGTTGAACTTGATCTGCCCGGTTTTATTCACTTCCTGTCCTCCTGACACTCCTGTCTCCACTGAAAGGAAGTGTGGCTGCAATTTACTCCTAGCTTCCTGCCCTGCTCGAGGGCTGCCCAAAGCCCCCTCCTTAGGAAACTTTTGGGGAGTGTCATTCTGGACTGCAGGGTCTCCAGTCTCCTCCTCTTCTTCTTCCTCAATCTTTTCTTCCCTCATCATTCTCTCCAGTTCCTCGTCACACTCCTCAAATATGGTTGAAAGTCTCTTGTATGCAGCCCGGATGTCCATGGGTTCATCAAAGATGATGATCACGGGTTTCTTGTCCAGGCACACCACAGGTTCTTCACTTTCACTGCCTTCCTGCTGGGATATCGTCTCTTTTTTTGCATCAATGTTGACCGTCTGTACATCTTCCCCCTGTCGGCTCACTATATCATGGACCTCCCCGCTGGAGAGAACTTGGACCGCGGTTTTGGTGATCATGAAGGCAATGTTGTCGGTTGCCTTCTCCTCGCTGGGAGAACTTGGTGTGGACTCCCCTTCCTCACTAGGGGTCATGTTAGTATGCTTAGCTCCCTTTGGTCTTAGGACAACTTGGCCGAATTCTGTCATGGGAACCTCTTGGTCTTGAGTTTTGACATCACGAGTCGTCAATTCGGTTGATCTAGTGGTAATGGGAATGTGACCCTTCTCTGAATCTTCTTGTCCTTGCTGACTCTTTGTCTTCCCATAATTCATCTGATTCTCAGCGTCAGATGCAGGGTACTGCAGCCCGGAGATTTTAGGTCCTTTGTTGATTTCACATTCGAATGAACTAACACCAGAGAAACTAGAATTGACCTTAGACACATTTTTCTGGGAATGGTTTTTACTGTCTCTAAGTAAACTCTTAGTGGAGAGGGAACTTTCCTTCATTGAGATGTCAGTTTTGTATTCTGCTGTTCTTGCTGCATCAGAAATACTGTTTTCCACTCCTCTTTCCCACTTAGGATGGTCACTCGGCGTGAGAACCCCTGGGGTAACCTGAGAGGAAGGGTGGAGGGGGGAAACCACACAGAGTGATCAGAAATGGATCTGCAGAGGAAGGGGATCAGTCTGCATGGTATCAGCTGGAACATATCTGGTGAACTCACCTTCCGGGACTCCATTGGGGGGCCATTTTCACATTCAACATCAGATTTCCGTACGTCTTCGTGGAAAAATTCCAAATTCTGGTAGAATAGTGTAGGACACGTTACTCCACAAAACCACACCCCCGCCCCCGAAGTGGACTACAACTAGAGTGTTCCTTTAATTACACTTCCAAAACATGCGGGCCAAGCACGCCTGTTACACACCAGTCCAAGCCTACAGCTGTTTACCTTGGGTTGCTTGGTTCTCCAACTTCCAAAAATGCCCTGTGTTTGCACAAGATGAAAATCTCAATTAGCAAAATGCTTCAAGGATTTCAAATGTTGATAGGGGGAGCAGTTAAGAGAATATAAAGGAACTGATTCTGGACCAGCACGTCCTCTTTTCACCATCTGACTGTGAGCTTAGCCGACTCTAAAACCAGAGGATTGGGGTGGTGTTGTAGAAAGCACAATATATCAGCAGGCAGATTTTGATTCTGGCCCAGATCTGCCACTTAACTGTGTTATTTTAGGCAAGTCATCTCACTTCCCTGGGCCTCAGGTTTCTTGCTTATGAACCACGGAAACATTGGTTGGGTGTGGTACTTTGAGATTAAAAAATAAACCCCAGAATCATTATTTTTCCCTGGCCAAATCATAGCTTTGAAAACTTACTTGTAGTTTGTACTTGCACTTGCCAAGCAAAGTGTCAAAATAACCTTCAGACTAATCATAGCCAAGATGATCAAATCCCCATTCAGAGTGACAGTGCCTCCAAAATGTCATCTAAACATTTAGAAAACATACTTGAGGCTGAAGTGGTGACTGTGCCGTCATGATTCAGCTTTGAGACGCTGGGTGCTCTGATTTAGAGGGAGATGTGTCTGAGGTTCCCACCAAGATTCAGAGGGTGAGAGCCCAGGGGAGAGGACCAGGTGTGGAGAACGTGCTGCCTGGGGGGAGCCTCGGGCCCCGTCCACAGCCCTGACACCAGCCCCGCCTTGTCACTTCCAGGGTCGTGCTGGCCCTGCTTCTGGCGGCAGAAGCCCAAGAGGAAGAGGTGGTCAGAGCAGACTGGGACGTGACCCCAAGAAGGCGGCTGGGTTTAAAGCAATGACAACATAACGAAGCACAAGAGCCCAGGCCCCACCAGGGACAGCCTCGATCAACCCTACTGCCCAGCCGGAAATAGAGAGTGTCTGTACACATCCAAGGAGTAACAGAGAGACGACAGAGTCAGTGTTAATCACATGGAAATACGGCAGGGGATCTGAAGCGTGGCAGCCATCAAACACCTCCTGTTTAACCTCTCCTCATCCCCATCGGGCCCCACACAGGTGCAATGAGATTCAGCTGCTACAGTGTAGCAATATCTCTTGTCTTAAGATTTCAACTCCAAAGAGGGAGTCAGCATAGTCTGCTAGGACCTGAGTGTGAATATACCCAGAGGAGGAGCTGGCATGTGCAGGGCTGCTGTTCCGCTGACCCCGTTTACTGGGGGGTTAGGGCTGGCATCTGTTCTGATTGGTCAGTCCACGTCATACCCAGTGAAATATTTCAAATGCCACCCAGAAATATATGTATTTTAAAACAGATCTAGCAGCAAGAATGGATCTGCTTCATGAAAGGAAAATGACTCTCCTCTGATGGGAAGTCACTAAGGTAAAGATGTCAAGTGTAGGTTTCACATGACCTAGCGTTTTTGGTGCTGGGCTAGAAAAATGAAGGCAGGGATCAAAGCAAGTGAATTAACTTTATCAAGGGTAACTTGTTCACAGTTGTCATGTAATCTCACAATGATAACTTAGTCTCAGATAGTCAAGACTCTGCATGAAATGTAATTAAGCCTCATGAATGTATCTGTTTTGGGACTCTGAGATTTGACTGTTCAGACAACTAGTGAAGCAGAGGTAATAAGCATTTGGACAAGAAACCAAAATTAGAAACATAAGTTATACAAGTAAGTACTAGGCTAGCACTTCACAATAGAGAAGAATTTTAAGAAACATTTGATTTATGGAAGAGAAGATGAATAGCCCAAGAAGAGGTTAATAATGACAACAATTTGGGGACAGTTCTGATAGTCATGGTTATTATGAAGGAGATCAGTCTACTCAACATGATTATCCAGAAAAAGCACCTGTAATTAAACCTAGTGTTTAATGGCCTGGTGTTGGACAATCAGTATAGACTTGCTCTGTATTTGATGGACCCTTGATTGAGATCTATGTGATTGATGGGATATGGATTTCTAATTGTAGGGCAAGAAACCCCATGCAGCATTTTAGCAAATTAGAAAAATTCTACAGTGAGATGATGAGTTTCTGGAGGGATCCTCAAGAAGCCCCTGGTTAGTATTTTAGAAGAAATAGTCACACTGGTTCAAGTACAGCATATAACTTGGGACACGCCAGGGCCTTCTATAAGGCCACAGAAGGAAACTGCTCAGACTGAAGAAGCAACATATTTCCATTGTAACTGTCACACATTCAATTCATACTAATAGGAGATTTTCTTCATGAGAAAGGTAAATCAACAATAATCTCCCGTGGTGCCTAGAGATCCCCCTAGCACCTGGTTAACAGTTTCATTTGCCAGATACGTGGCAGGCGGAGTTTGCATGAGGCCCTGGGATGGCTGGGGGCCAGCGAGCAGCAGGGCAGCCTCTGGCAGGGCTGCAGAGCTGGCAGCTGTAAGCCAGGACTGCATCTCTTGAAGGACTGTGCTGGGATAGCCCTCTGGTTTTGTGATCCTGTATCTTTTCACTGAACTTACTTATCCCTGGACCGAGGTACCTACATGAAGTAGCTACAGGGCTCTATGTTATGGCTGATTTGTTTGACTTTACTTAAAGGAAGCTAGAAGCTTTGAATTCTAAGATACAAGTTCCTGGCAGAAAATGTTAAGACTTTTTACCCTGAAACTAAGAGGCTTCATTCATAGAAGATGACTGTTTCCAAAAATCACCAAAGCTCCAGATTCAATTTACAGAGTTGAAGTTCAGACATTCAGGTTAATCTCCTTAAAGTCCTTAGAGGAAAGGACTTTACGCTAAGCCACCAGGGGCTTCCTTGGTGACTCAGCTGGTAAAGAATCTGCCTGCAGTGTGGGAGACCTGGGTTTGATCCCTGGGTTGGGAAGATTCCATGGAGAAGGGAACAGCTACCCTCTCCAGTATTCTGGCCTGGAGAATTCCATGGACTGTGTAGTCCATGGGGTCGCAAAGAGTAGGACATGACTGAGTGACTTTCACTTTCTTTAAAGTCCTTATGTCATGACAGTGACCTTGTTTCAGAGCCTAGTTATCTCTTTGGAAACTTTGAGAATGACACAAAGTATAGTAGCACTAAAGTGATACTGAGCTTGTTGACTTGGAAGGTGCACTTTGAGAATCTGTAGTAGTAACAAAAACTCTGGCATCCTCAAACATGTGTGAACGTCTCCATGGTTACACCTGTGGATGGCAGGTCAACAATTTTGCTGTGCATTTTCTTCCTGGAATCTAAAGCTTTTGCTTACTTTTAATGTAGACATCTTTGGTCCAGAAGACACATTAAAAATTAGAAAAAGTGCTACCTGCTTCAGGTTTCCATTTTTTTTTCTCTTAAGAGTTCTAGAGAATCTAGATGATGTCTTATCTTTGGTTTGGGGAGAAAATGCCTAATTCTGCATCTACGGTTGTGTGCTGTGTACAGAACAAAGCATCCACTCTGGAAACCCGAACCAGAGGTCTCTAGTGAACCCCAAGCTGTGTCTCCATTAGTTTAAGGAGGGGAAAAAAAAAAAAGGTGAGGAAAAGAGAGAACACACAGAAGCTCAAGCACAGGGCGATGTTAGTGTCAGAGCCAGGAAAGAAGGACGGCCACGGGGTGGCCAACGTGTAACTGCCACGTATTACCTTCTTCTCCTTGGGTGGGGCGGTGGCCCCCGGCCTAGTGTCTTTAACGTGGCTGTCAGCCCGGGACTGCTCAGCGTGACTGTTTGAATTTACATCCATAAAGGAACACTTCTGGAATGCCTAAGGAATTAAAATACTGAGGTTAACAAGGATGGAGTGCAGTGAGGCGGTCAGAGGGAACAGCTGGGAATCCAGAGGATTTCCCGGTTGAGACCCCAGCCTGGTCCTGCGTGTGGGACGTGCTGGGGCCAAGGAGTCGGTGCCCTGAGAACCGACTCCCCAGTTGACCTCAGGTCAGCAAAGCCCTTATTTTTGGGGCCAAGATGAAATGGACAGAGCCTTTGAAATCCAAGTCCTTTAATTCTGTTTGGGTGAACCTGATTTGTACTTAGTAGGGCTTCTTTGAAAGAGTTTTGACCCTTAAAAATGATGACTGTGTAAACGAATTAATAAGCTATCTTTCCAGTTTCCATTATATTTTTGCCAGTTTTATTGAGATGAAAGGGCACAAGATACTGTAAATTTTTAAACCTTAAAATGGAAGTAATCTTTAACAGTTCATTGTTTGCAGTAGCAACATAGTCCCATGCTCTGGACTATTCTGCTGTAGAATAAAGTGAATTTTGATCAGCCTGGGAGAAACCAGAACTCCACAGACTTGTCTCTCAACTCTAATGACTGTAGTTACTGGAGTGGAGGGCAGCCAGCTTTCAGAGAGAAAGCATCAACTGTGTATAGGGCAGAAACTCAGCGATAATATACATGATGTAAGAGCAGGAGAGTAACCCAAGCAGCGACGTTCCCTGAAATTACTGGTTCAGTCAGGCTGTATGACATCCAGTTAAAAAATACTGTTACCTGGGCCACACCTGGAGAATTAAGCCAGACTCTGCACTGTAAGACTTTTTTTTTAAGTTTTCAAATTTTTGTTTAATGGGACTAGGGTTGATATATAATGTTGTGCCAATCTCTACTGTACAGCAGAATGACTCGGTTATATACATAATACACGTTCTTTTTTAAAGATTCCTTTCCATTATGGTTTATCACATGATACTGAATATAGCTCCCTGTGCTATATACTAGGACCTTTTCATCCATACTATGTATCTTTATATAATAGTTTACATCTACGAATCCCCAACTACAAGCACCTCCCTCCCCCATCCTCTCTCCCTCGGCAACCACAGGTCTGTCCTCTGTGAGTCTGTTTCTGTTTTGAAGACAGATTCATTTGTGCCATCTGATAGTATTTCTTTCTCTTCCTGGCTTGATTTAGTATGATAACCTCCAGGCCCATCCGTGTTACTATAGATGGCATTATTTCTCTGTTTTATGGCTGAATGGTATCTATTGTATGCATGTGCCACATCTTCTTTATCCATGTATCTGTTGTGGACATGAAGGATGTTTCATGTTTTGGCTATTGTGAACTGTGCTGCTATGAACATAAGGGTGCATTTATCTTTTAAAAACTGGAGTCGAGTTGCTTTATAATTTAGTTTCCGCTGTACAGCAGAGTGAGCATGTACACACCCATCCCCCTTTTGGGTTTCCTTCCCATCTGGGTCACCACAGAGCGCCGAGTGCCCTGTGTCACGCAGCAGGTTCTCGTTAGTTATCTACTTGATACACAGTAGTGTGCATGTCAGTCCCAGCACCCAGCTCACCCCAGGTGCCCTCCTCTACCTCCCCGGCGTCCGTATGTTTGTTTTCTACGTCTGTGTCTGTTCCTGCTTTGCAGATAGGTTCGTCGGTGCCATTTCTCTAGACTCCCCGTATATGCATAAGTATAATTGTTTTTCTATGACTTCACTCTGAAAGACAGTCTCTAGGTCTATCCATGACTCTGTAAATAGCACAGATCTGTTCCTTTTTAAGGATGAGTAATTCCACTGTCATATCTTTTTGCCTTTTCATACTGTTCTGGAAGGAGGGGAAGGGGATGACAGAGGATGAGATGGTTGGATGGCATCACCAACTAGATGGACATAAGTGTGAGCAGGCTTCGGGAGTTGGTGATGGACAGGGAAGCCTGGTGTGCTGCAGTCTGTGGGGTCATGAAGAGTTGGACACGACTGAACTGAATAAACTGAACTGAATTCCACTGTGTTGGGTTGCCCAAAAAGCTTTTTTCAGGTTTTTTGGTTTAGGAGTTATAGAAAAACCCAAATGAACCTTTTGGCAAACCCAATATAGATGGACCACATCTTTGTCCATTCTTCTGTTGATGGACATCTAGGTTGCTTCCATGTCCTGGCTATTGTAAATAGTGCTGCAGTGAACAGTAGGGTGCATGTTCCTTTCAGATCATAGTCTTCTCCAGACATATGCCCAGGAGTGGGGTTGCTGGATCATATGGTAGTTCTATTATTAGTTTTATTTTTTAAAGAAACTCTATACTGTTCTCCATAGTGGCTGTATCAATTTACATTCCCACCACCACTGTAGGAGGGTCCCCTTCAATCCACACCCTTTCCAGGATTTACTGTTTGTAGATATTTTGATGATGACCATTCTGACCAGTGTGAGGGGACACGTCATTGTAGTTTTGATTTACATTTCTCTAATAATTAATGATGTTGGGCATCTTTTTATGCGCCTCTTGACCATCTATATGTCGTCTTTGGAGAAATGTCTGTTGAAGTCTTCTAACCACTTTTTTATTGGGTTGTTTATTGTTTTGGTATTGAGTTTCATGAACTGTTTATCTTGGAGATTAATCCCTTGTCAGTTGCTTTGTTTGCAGATATTTCTCCCATTCTGAGGATTGTCTTTTCATCTTGTTTATAGTTTCCTTTGCTGTGCAAAGTTTTTGAGTTCAATTAGTTCCCATTGTTGTTTTTGTTACTCTAGGACTTGGGTCAAAAAAGATCTTGCTGTGATTTATGTCAAAAAGTGTTCTGCCTGTGTTTTCCTCTTAAAGAGTTTTATAGTATCCAGGCTGACATGTAGGTCTTTAATCCATTAGAGCTCTGTCCAGTATATGCCCAGGGGTGGAATTGCTGACCTCCACTCAGCAGTTCTATTTTTAGTGTTCTGAAGAACTGCCATACTGTTTTCCAAGTGGCTGTACCAACATATATTCCCATCAGTACTATAGGAGAGTTCCCTTTTTTCTTCACCCTCTCCAGCATTTGTTAATTGTAGACTTTTTAATGATGGCCATTCTGAATATTGTGAGATGGTATCTCATTATAGTTTTGATTTGCATTTCTATAATAATTAGTGATGTCGATCATCTTTTCATGTGCCTCTTGGCAATCTGTATGTCTTCTTTGAAGAAATGTCTGTAAAGTCTTCTGCCCATTTTTTAATTTTTTTTTGTTGTTGTTGAGCTGTAAGAACTGTTTGTATATTTTGGAGATTAAACCCTTGTTTGTCAAATTATTTGTAAATATTTTCTGCCATCCCATAGGTTATCTTTTCATTTTTAAAAAATGGTTTCCTTTGCTTTGCAAAAGCTTGTAAGTTTGATTAGGTCCATTTTGCTTGCTTTTGTTTTTACTTCTATACCCTTAGGAGACTGATCTAAGAAAATATTGATTTATTTATGATTTATGTCTGAGAATGTTTTGCCTATGCTCTCTTCTAGGAGTTTTATCATAGGACTTTAACTCCTCAAATTATTCTAATGTGCAGGCAAGATTAAAGACCAGTTATTTAAAGGAATAATTTCAAATAATCATCTCATATTTCTTAATGTCAGGTACTGTCATTTGGAAATACCTGTAGACACAAAGAATAACCTGTGCCCTCCCCAAATGAACATTCAGCACAGGTTTTGAAATACACACAGAGCTGATGCCCAGCATCTTCCCCAGCCATTCTGGCTCCTGGTCCCCCCCTTAGACACCCTGTCCTCTCTGATCCTGGAGAGGCCCCCGGCTCTGCTCACTAAGGCCGTTCGCCATCTCCATTGGGCTGTTAGACCCTGGACTTCAGAGCCAGTGGTTTCTTCCTTCTGATGCCCAGTGACATGAAGCAGGAAAGTTGCCCCACATTGCACTTGGGGCTGCAGCTCTTGCTTGTCCTGCCTCAGCAGGGCGGGGGCTCCTAACTCCGTAGAGCCTGTGGAGGCGAAGGCGCCAGCTGGGCCACTGGCTGACTCTCTAGTGCAGCGGGCTAACTGATGAGGTTGGTTACCTTAGCAGCGGGCTAACTGATGAGGTTGGTTACCTTAGCAGCGGGCTAACTGATGAGGTTGGTTACCTTAGCGATAGAGCCCTTTACTCACCACCGTCACCTGACCACCAGTAACACAGCAGGAAGCTAGATACTCCGCCTTGGCAAAGCTTTCAGTCAAAGGAAGCATCCAAGCCATTCAGATCCCAGTGGAGGGGACATCCTCAGTGTTGGGACACAGGGGGGCGTGCAGGGCGCTGCACAAGCCTAGAGGCTTTCAGCTCTTTACTAGTCTTGTTCACCTTTCACAAGTTAGAATTACCTAGTGCTTTGCTTTCACTTGAACCAAAGGGGTCATGATTTATATACCATGATTGATTATTTATACTCTATTTGTTATTTAATATTGGCATATAATTGACTGACAATGTTCTGTTAGTTTCAGGTGTATAGCAAAGTGATTCAGTTGTACATATACACATATCTGGCTTTTAAAATTCTTTTCCCATTTATGTTATCATATATTGAGTAGAATTCCCTGTGCTGTACAATAGGTCCTTGCTTCTTATCTATTTTATATATAGTAATGTGTACATATTAATCCCAAACTCCTAATTTATAACCCCCACAACGTTTCCCCTTTGGTAACCTAAGTTCATTTGCTTAGTCTGTGAGTCTGTTTCTGTTGTGTAAATAAGTCATATTTTAGGTTCAGTATTTCAAAACCCTAAAAGATGATGCTGTGAAAGTGCTGCACTCAATATCTCAGCACATTTGGAAAACTCAGTAGTGGCCACAGGACTGGAAAAGGTCAGTTTTCATTCCAATTCCAAAGAAAGGCAATGCCAAAGAATTTCAAACTACCACACAACTGCACTCATCTCACACACTAGCAAAGTAATGTTCAAAATTCTCCAAGCTGGGCTTCAACAGTACGTGAACTGAGAACTTCCAGGTGTTCAAGATGGATTTAGAAAAGGCAGAGGAACCAGAGA